TAATGAATGTGCAGATGGTATCTTCCAGGGATGGGCACAACACTGTCCATCCTTTGTGCTCTCCTGTAAGGTAACCTTGCCACTCCCCATGAAGGGATGAGTCCATTTCTCTATCCCCTTGAAACTCAGTGTGCCCTGTGGCTTCTTCGCCACTAGAACATGGTAGAAGCGTCACTGTGTCTGTTCTGGACATAGCCTATAACAGCCTGACACTTCCATGTTCTGAATTTTGGAGTCCCCAGCTGCACTGTAGGAAGTCCACACTCTTCTGTTGCTCAAGTTGACAGCCTCTGCTGAGCCCCCATCTGAAAACATCGATGCTGTCCATCTTGGACACCAAGCCCAATACACAGCTGAGTCTTCAACTAACCACAGACCTGGACAACAGCTGAATGCAACAGCACTGGAGGCACTGACAAGAGCAGTCTACCTGAACCCTCCCAACCTGCAGAACTGTGGGAGATGATAATAAGTCGTTCTTGTAAGCTACTAATTTTTGCGGTTGGTTGATTTCACAGCAATAGATGGTTTAAAGAGAATTTGGTACCTATCACTGGTACCTATTTGCCTCAGCAAATCCTAAAACATGTGAAGTGGTTTTGGGACCAGCCGGCAAATGAAGGCTGAAGGGCCTCAAGGAGATCTTTAATGGGAGCTTGAAGGGCAGTTCGGAAATTGGAGGCTTGAGGAAATGTCCTGTGTCATGTAGTGGTGAAAACTTTGGCAACTGTTGACTGCAGTAGTGTGGGAACTGGCACAAAGAATTCCAGGTAGAGTTTGAAAGTACCAAATGTTTCCTTTACCCACTGTTATCAGTGAGGGTGCAATCAAAGTAAAGAAACCACATCAGTAATCTGAGCTGGGAAATTTTAACAGAAAGAATGAACTAGGAGAGGTTACCATATTGGAAATTAACCAACAGAAACCTTATTAACGTGCAGTCGGGAGGCCAGAAGGGGGAGCTCTCATGCCCTACGTTGAGAGTGGAGCCCAATGGGAAGAAAGACTTCCTCTTCTTCACCGGCAAGAAGCTCAGCCAACGGGAAACTGTCACAACTCAGCCAGAGAAGTCACTACACCTGGAACTTTGTTTACAATAGCCCTCCCAACTTCCTCTTCCCCTCTAAAAAAGAGTATCTCCTCCCCCTGTTGCAGGGGACTTGCACCTGGCTTACTGTGGTTGCAGACCCCAAATTGCAATTTTTTGCTGATCCTGAATAAACCCATTTTTGCAGGAGAAATAATTAGCTGTCTATTTGTTTAAGGCCAACACTATTAAAAAGGTATAAAGAAGAACTCTTGAGATATAGAGGCAGCAACTGCAGTGAGTGGCTTCTAGCTCAACGGCTGAGAGAGAGTGAACAAGCAGGAGGTCCTGGGAAGGCTGAAATTCGGACCTGAGGAGAGGCAGGGCTGCCCCGGGAATATGGTTCCTGCCTCTCTGGTAAGAAAACACTCGACGGAGGCCTCTGGCCAGGGACTTGTTGCCACTGTGGTTGCAAAGAAAGGTGCCAGAAGGTGCAAGCCACCACTGAGGAAGGAGGACCGACGACATGGCCTATGCCAGTGTCTCTCTCCTGCCCCACCTTCACCCACCCCCTGCTTGCAACCACGTGGATACCTGCCACAGCAGAAGGAAGAAAATCCTTCTTCCTGCTCAGGCTGGCAATCTCCCTCCAGTCCCTTTACTGAGAAAGTCAAGATTTTGTCAGCTGGATAAGGAGAAATGTAGCCGCATCACAAAGCAGAGCAACCAAGGGTGAGTTTCTAGCTGAGAGACAAAAAATTCATAGCTGGCAGAGTCACATACCGTAAGGTATGGGTAGAGGGAGATGAGCTAAAAAGGAGAAACTGTTCAGTTTTAAAGAATAATTCAGACAAAATACAAAGGAGCCAGAACTAGCTTGGTTTGAAAATAAAACTGTTCTTCCTTCCTAGCTTCTCCAGTCAGAAAAAGATTACCAAAGTAGGAAATGACTTCAGGTTAAAGATCAAATTCAGGATGCTACCAGTAAAATGCAGCCTGAGAGTAAATCTCAGAGCAAGTGTGTTGCTGTAAGACCCTTTCTTGAGACTCTTAAGAACGTCCCTTGTAAAACCTCACAAACAGGTGATAAATAGGGCTTTTACAAATCTTAGGGGCACTGTCCCGTCACGCTCAATTTGAGGTGGAATGGATCATGCTCCAGAGAAAATGTGAGTGTGGTTTCCATCCAATGGAGTGGATTATAATTCAATATATCAGAAACCCAAAAAGTTTTTAAAAGGAATTAAACCAGTAAAAAGAGTTTTTAGAAAAAGTTCTAAAAAGAGCCCTCTGGGCAGGAAATAGGACTGTAAGGAACTAGTTGGTTACAAAATCAGGCTACGTCTTGTGGAAAAGGGAGGACGACTCACAGCACAGAATCCAGAGCCTTGGAAATCATTCCCAGAATCACTGTGTCCTAGTCAAGGACGTGATGGTGTGCCCTGCTAGATCTCAGAGTTGCTACGGACCAGTGATGGCTAGTGCCTCCCAATCTCCCTCCCCTTCGAATGGACCATCTGTTGGTATCCCATCTCTGTTACCATTGTACACTGAGTGTGTGCAGGCAGGTAATCGGTCACTGCAGGTCACATATCTCCAGATTAAGAGCAACTACACGTAAGGAACCCTGCCCCAAAAGCCTGTGTGCTCAGACCTGATGGACCTGACAGAGCCTAATTTCTGAGCCAACAGCTTTACAAAATGATGTCTTTTGGAGATTTTGGAGGGTGTGAATGTAGCAAAGAACCATCTCTTCCTGCTTTTTATTTTCTTTGAGGGAATGTGTCTGACATGCCACAGATTCTGCCTCCTACCTCACTCAACAGAGATGGGTCACATGCCCAGCCCAAATGAATCACTAAAAGAAAAGTTAGCCTAGGTAATCATAAAAAGCTCAGTCAAGATAAACCCCTGATTAACTGTGTACAAGTGGGTAAGAAAATGAAATCAAGACTTTGGCAAAAATTTGGATTGATCTTGCATAGCCAAACAAGTCTGTTTGAGCCTCCTATCAATTTAATAATTTTGTAAATTACGATCATCACCATCATAGCTGGAGATTCTATACTGTTACCAGGCCCCAGGTAATATTGTAAGCACTTTACTTATCTTACCTATTTTACTTCTCACAGTAACCCTTTGTGGCAGGTTCTGGTATTACTTCCTTTTTGAATATGAAGAAACAGAGGCCCAGAGATGTGCAAGTCTAAGACCATGCAGCTCACAAGTGGTGAGCCTGGTTTTACTGTGTTGCCCCTATTAGCGGCAAGGCTCACACACAGCACTCCATCACTGGAAATGCAAACTCGAGTCCTCAGTTACACAGCTCATGGCTACAGGTACTCCTACCTATGGTGCTGCTCCATCAAAACATCTGAGGAACAGGAAAGAAGGCGAAATTTTCCTTCCAGAGCCCACTTTTCACTGAGTAGAATGAAGTGACTCAATTTTGTTCACAGATGTTTGAGTTAACAATTAAATGCCTGATTTGTGCACTTCTACGTAAATGATGTTTCTAACAGTGGCACTGGCTGGCTGTGTTAGCTGAAAACTTTAGAGATCTGCTTTACTTAAGAGACACTTAAGTAACAATATTCATACAAATTTACATACTAGGAGACTAGGAAGAAAGTATGTAGTACAATAATTTAGACAATGTATTTAACAACATATAAGAGGTGAGACTGAAATCTGATGTGGAAAACCCTAATGCAAGTCACAATATTTATTAAGTTAAGCATATATATTCCCTACCCACAATTATACTGGGTTCCGTTAAACAAAACTTCTGTTAACACAGAATACTCATACACATAAACCCAACATACCTCATGTGTACTGTTGGGAGTAGTTGAACTTCTGTGCATAAAAAAAAAGGCACAGGAAATAGTTCTAGAGCAGGATTTTTCCACCTTGGCACTATTGGTATTGTGGCTTGATCATTCTTTGTTGTGGGGGCTATTCTGTGCACTATAGGCTGTTCAGCAACATCTTTGGCCTCTACCCATTAGATGCCACCAGCGCTCCCAATCCCCAGTTATGACAACCAAAGACATCTCCAGATATTGTCAAATGTCCCCTGGGAGGCAAAATCACCATCAGTAGATAACCACTGATATGTAATCAAATTTTTAACATCTCAATAACATATTTAATATTTCTATTTGAAAAACTTCATCTGTACTACCTCAATTGATAGTTTTCTCTTCTTTACAAATTCTGGTATATACAAAAGTTGTAGGTTTGTTGAAAACTTTGACACATTAAAGATACTTCGTTTTATGGGCCAGCCCAGCGGCGCGAGTGGTTAAGTGCGCGCACTCTGCTGCGGCAGCCGGGGCTTCACCGGTTTGGATCCCGGGCACACACCAATGCACCGCTTGTCAAGCCATGCTGTGGCGGCATCCCATATAAAGTGGAGGAAGATAGGCACGGATGTTAGCCCAGGGCCAGTCTTCCTCAGCAAAAAAAAAAAGAGGATTGGCAGATGTTAGCACAGGGCCGATCTTCCTCACTGAAAAAAAAATTAAAAAAAAAAAAGATACTTTGTTTTCAGTGTTCATGAGACGCCTCTGACTGGTAAAAACACAAATTTGTTGTGTTCATTTTTCCCAATGATTTCATTGATTTTTCTATAAGCAGACTAGGGGATGAAAGATTAAACACAGGTTACTCTACTGTGTGAATTTCCTGATATACAAGGACGGGTAACCTCTCCCAGAATCCTCTCCAACATTCATAAAGTGAACAAGCTACAGGAGCATGGTTATGTAGCAGAGCATACAGATCACAAAAGGAAGGGCTCAACAGTGTATTTATTTCTCACTCATGAAAATTACAAATGGAGATCTGGGGGTAGAATTTCTGTCTTAAGTTGCTTGCCATGTTTTGCCTATGGCTCCTGAGGCCACCAGAGGCATCATCTGTACTTCAGAATTGCAGGCATGAGACCACAGAAAGGATTGCATAAGTTTTTTTTTTGTGGACGAGGCCTGAGTTAATGTTCATCACTTGTGTCTATATTCCACTGACCAGAGCTCAGTTACGTGGTCCCACCCACAGAAGGAAGCTGAGAAATGCAGCCTAACTGTGTGCCAAGAGAAAAAGAAAGTGGGTTTTGGAGAAGACATCGCCAGCGTCCACCACACATGATTTCTCCCGTGTGAGTTCTCAGATGTTTGCTAAGGTGTGACTTCTGACAAAAGGTTTTTCCACATTCATTACATGCATAGGGTTTCTCTCCAGTGTGAGTTCTCTGATGCACTGTGAGGGCTGACCTCCGACAGAAACTTTTCCAACATTCTTTACACTCATAGGGTTTCTCTCCTGTGTGAGTTCTCTGATGTACAGCGAGAGCTGACCTCCCACAGAAAGTTTTCCCACATTCTTGACATTCATGCGGTCTCTCTCCTGTGTGAGTTCTCTGATGTACTGTGAGGGCTGACTTCTCATAGAAAGTTTTTCCACATTCATTACATTCATAAGGTTTCTCCCCTGTGTGTGTTCTCAAATGTACAGTGAGTTTTGTTTTCACAAAGAAGGATTTCCCACATTCACAACATTCATAGGGTTTTTCCCCTGTGTGGATTCTCTGATGAACAGTTAGGTGTGACTTATGGCAGAAAGATCTGTCACATTTGTCACATGCATAGGGTTTCTCCCCTGTATGAGTTCTCTGATGTATTGTAAGGACTGTTTTACTAACAAAGGTTTTCTCACATTCACTACATTTATAGGGTTTCTCTCCTGTATGTATTTTCTGATGTTTAGTGAGATTAGACTTTTTATAGAAAGTTTTGCCACATACATTACATTCAAAAGTTTTCTCTCCTAACTGAATTCTCTGAAGCTGAGTGAAGTGTAATTTCTTGCTGAAATCATTCCCACTTTGATTACGTTTAAGGTGTTGCTCCTCAAAATCAGCTCTATGGAGATTCAATGGTGCTGGTTTCTCATAAACAGTTTTCCCCCATTCATTACATCTATAGTGATTCTCCCCTATGTGAGGTCTCTCTTGGGCAATGAGAGCTGACTTATCACAAGCTTGCCAATGTTCATTATATTTACAGGCAGTCTCTCCCACATGAGCCCTCCGATCTGTAAGGAATTCTGCCACCTTGTTGAAGCCTTTCATTTGTCCACTAAATGCAAAACCTTGCTGCAAAGTGAGATTCTTCTGATGATGACTAGGATACTCAGCACAACTGAGGGACTTCCCAGTTATAGCATGGTCCTCAGGCTTCTCTCCAGCAGGCGTCTCCTCGGGCTCACTAGGGAGAAATGTGTTCTCACACACATTAAACTCCTCAGGCTTCACTCCTGAACAGTTTCCATTATTTACAATCAGTTTTGAAATACAGATTGAGCTCAGATTAAATGTTTTTCCTAGGTCAGTTCTCTCCTTAGTTGATGTTGCATTGTTGATTACAACTTGCCACAAATGTCTGCCCTGATTTTCCTGGCTGGTCTCCATCAGGTCATCCACACTCTGGACATCTAAAATGAGATAAAAATAACCATAGCTATGAACCACATTTAAGCATTTCTTATGGAATGCCCAGGTAAAGGTAAAGAAATTTCTTTCTATACTAATGGGATAAGATTTTCAAAAAATCAATAATGGGTATTAATTTTATGATGAGTATATGATTTTTCTCCCTAATGAATTAATGTAACAAATTTCATTAATAGATTTTCTAATGTCAAATCATGGTTTTTTTTTCCTTTTTTAATTCATGAGGAACTATTTGGTCAAAATATTCACCTACTCTCTAGATGCAGATTTCAGCTGAGAACTTTTCATCTACCATTTGTTTTCTTGTTCTTTTCTCTACTTTATCATCATAAGAACTGTGGGTGTCTTGTGCTAGTCCTTCTCTGATCACTCAGCTTTGAGGATGGCATGATTTTCCTGGATGAACTACTTACAGGATGTGGGGGAGGGCCATCTGTCTGTCACCTAAGCAGGATTATTCCTTAGGGACAAGGATTTTGAACTTACATTTGTTTAGTTTTACTCCTCCATGGGAACTGGCCATATGCATCTGTGGGGTTTTTCAAACCTATAATCTTTCTTCTCTACTCCATACAAATACAGATTCCTGCAAATTCGGAATTTTAACCTTACATTCTGTACTTCTCAGAACCATATCAAGCACAGGAAGCCCCAGTTCCCCACACTGGGCTACCCCTCCCTGCTGCTCTCAAGGACTTATATCCTGACAGCCAGGCTTTGACGTCTTTTTCTGGCTCCTTCTTAGTTCAACAGTCACGGCATTCTTACTTCACTTCCTACTATGCGCACCCCTGCTTCATAACTCACTGCTTCTGAAGGCTTATATTTTGTGCTTTAGAGTGTCAGCTGTCTCCTACTTTCAAAGAAAATGGAGTCCAGGGATGAATCTTATTCTCTGCTGTTTTACAAGGACTTCATAAGAGCAACTCCATCCTGAAACCCTTGGTTCCATTGGCCTTGAGAATCCATGATCTCCTGGTTCTCCTCCCATGTTACCACCCCCTTCCATGCTGAAACTTTCGCAGGGTCCTTCTCAGCTTCATGATATCTGTGATTTCTCAGTTGACAAGGCTTGGTCCTGGAATCTTCTCATTTTCTTAACAACTCCCTAGGCGACTTGCTCTAATTCTATGCCTTTATTTTATTTTTACTTTTTTGCTGAGGAAGATTGGCCCTGAGCTAACATAACATCTATGCCAATCTTCCTCTACTTTATATATGGGATGCCGCCACGGCATGGCTTGACAAGCGGTGTGTAGGTCCGCACTCAGGATCTGAACCAGTAAACCCAAGGCCAGCAAAGTGGAGCGCACGAACTTAACTACTATGCTACCAGCCTGGCCCTAATTCTATGCCTTTAAATGCCAGTTAAGCTAACGATATTTCAAATTCGCATCTTCTAATAGTGATGACCACTTTCTAGTCCACATATTATATCCCCCTACATGTTAGAAGTCAATTTGGAAAAAAGTCATCTCAAACTTAAGCTATGTAAATATAATAATAAATAGTATATAATAAATATTTAATAATCATCTCAAACTTAACCTATCCCTAAGTAAATACTTAAATCCCCCCTAAAACTACTTTTTTACAGCTTACATCTTACAATAACACAGCCCATTTTTTTCTCTCTCATTATGGTGAAACATTATTTGTGGTTCTTATCCCACTACTTAATATATTGTATATTTGTTTTATTCTGACTCTCAACAAACTGTCATCTCTTTAAAAGGAGGGACACTAGGAGAAAATATTTGCAAATATTTTGCAAATATATCTGACAAGGAGTTAATTTCCAAAATATATAAAGAACTCATACAACTTCACAACAAAAAAATGAACAACCTGATCAAAAAATAGGCAGAGGATATGAATGAACAGACATTTTTCCAAAGAGGATATACAGGTGGCCAACAGGCACATGAAAAGGGTTCAACATCGCTAGTTATTAGGGAAATGCAAATCAAAACTACAATGAGATATCACCTCACACCTTTCAGAATGGCTATAACTAAGAAGGCAAGAAATAACAAGTGTTGGAGAGGATGTGGAGAAAAGGAACCCTCATACACTGCTGGTGGAAATGCAAACTGGTGCAGACACTATGGAAAACAGTATGGAGATTCCTCAAAAAATTAAAAATAGAAATACCATATGATCCAGCTATCCCACTACTGGGTATTTATCCAAAGAACATGAAATCAACAATTCAAAAAGATTTACGCATCCCTGTGTTCATTGCAGCGTTATTCACAATAGCCAAGACGTGGAAGCAACCCAAGTGCCCATCAACTGATGAATGGATAGAGAAGATGTGGTACACATATACAATGGAATACTACTCAGCTATAAAAAAGGACAAAATTGTACCATTTGCAACAACATGGATGGACCTTGAGGGTATTACGAAGTGAAATAAGTGAAAGAAGTCAGACAGAGAAAGACAAATACTGTGTGATTTCACTGATATGTGGAAGATAAACACATAGATAAGGAGAACAGATGAGTGGTTACCAGAGGAGAAGGGGTGGGGGCAGCAAAATGGATAAAGAGGCACATATGTATGGTAACAAAAACTAGACGATTGGTGGTGAACACGATGCAGTCTATACAGAAACTGAAATATAATAATGTACACTTGAAATTTACACAATGTTATAAACCAATGTGGCCTCAATAAAATAATAATATGAATAAATAAACAAAATAATAAAAGTAGGGACATTTTGTTGCTGTTGTTATCCCTACAATTATAAAATGACCAGCCTAAAAACTGCTCAGTTAACAGTGATGAAAGAATAAATGAATGTATGAATAAATGCCTGAAAGAAAACAGTGCATGAGAATGGAGGAAAGGAGGGCAACTGAGAACCTAGAGAAAGGGACTAACCAAGAAAAAATTCTAAGAGGAGGCAGGTAGGGGTAAGTATAAGAAAATTATTCAGGAAAAAAAAGGGAGGGTGGTATACATATGAAAGCCATTTTTGGAGACTGAATAATGCACGTGCCTGATGCATTATTCACCAGGTCTGGACCTGGGGAAAACCACTGGTGAAAATTAGCTGAGCACAGCCAACATCGGCCATGCTCTTCTCTTCCCAGCCTCCCTGCCCAGTACGCACTGACTGACCTGGGAGACTCTGGTCTGGGGGTGGTTCTACAGTCCACGGCTCTGTATCTTGCTCCAACTTGACGATCACCTCAGGTTTGGTAATGCAATGCCCTGTTGATGAGAAATAATGTAGGACTTTTGCCAAACTGCTTTACGGCCTCTGAAGAATGACAACTGTACGGCTTCGGCTTCGAGACTTGTGCAAGGAAGGGCCAATCTGCACCTTCGATTAGAGGGGTGAACACTCTTATTCTTCTTAGCCTAGAATCTTAAATCTAAGTAGCATTTAATTTCATAAACAGTCGTACATTTACCAATTAAGAAAAAAATGCTTGCACTTGGCCGTTATCAGGAGGGTTTCACTCACCCAATGACACCAGGCTACTGTAGGTCTCCAGCGTCACGTCCCTGTACAGGGTCCTCTGCGCATCATCCAGGTCCTGCCACTCCTCCCAGGTGAAGTTCACAGCCACGTCCTCAAATAACACTAACCCCTGTAATGGCACATTTCTCAATGCAAGTCATTGGCCTGGGTCAGAACAGGAAGTCTGGGAGTTCATTCTTTTGTGTGTGTTTTATCTGGTATAGAAGGCACCATGCTTTGTACTCTACATTCTGGGATAAAGGGAAATCACAATAGAAATATCCTAGCTCTGTGTTAATTCACTGGTTCCTAAAAGTACTGTTATATAGAGTTTCCCTTATAAATCTGGAACTGTCCTTGTTGCTAGGGATAAAAGGATGAATAAAATTCTCAACGGAGCCTGTGATCTGGTATGGAGACGCATACCCGGAATAACGTGTTAGATGAACTAGGCTAGACAGGTTTAATGTAGACTGGAGTACTAAAGAAGGAGAAAAACAGTTGTCCTTTGTACTATCAGGTTGTGCTTCACTGCAGAGCCAAACATGTCAGCTGTTCAATGTGAACCACATGTCCTCATGAATACGAGGCAACGGCAGAAGCCATGAGGGCAAGAAGAACACGTGCCACAGTGAGGGAAGTACACACAGCACCATGTCCAGGTGCGTGCTCCTGGGCTGTGATGAGAGATAAACGCAGTAACAGTATTTAAGACACCGATTATAGAGTGATTCTGCATTTAAATATGTGACCTAATTCCAACAAAAAATTTGATGCGCTCACGATTGTTTTTTACTATTTATCAATTAAAAGCATGTACACAGGCATTCTAAGATTTCCTTCCTATATCCCACAGGGTTGCTTATATCCACCCCAGGGTGGACACCCCCCACTTCCTAAACCACAGGGTGTAAATAATGAGGGGCCGATACTAAGAATTAAGTTACATGACCAGATTTGCATTTTAACAGTCATCCCCTAGAAGGAGAATGGGGAAGGGTGTAACGGACAGTCAGAGGAGAAGAAACCAGAGAGAGATGACCACCTACAATGAGGTAACAGAGCAGTAAGAATACAGAACAGGGAAATAATCCTAAAAAGCAAAAAAGAAAAGAAAAAGCAGGAACAGAATTTGCTACTAATTTGCTTGGAGAAGGGTGAAGGGGGAGTTTTACGACCAGGCTGTCTGCATGGCCAGTTGGGTAGATACTGGCACTGTACACTGAAACTGGGAAAAAAGTACAAAATATGATGGGCAGAAGAGACACAGATTTGGACATATCAAATCTCTGTGAAGTCTCTGTGGTCAAATATGTGGGGATGTCCAACCGGCAATTGGATATATGACCTAGAGCTCAGGAGAGAAATCTAAGCTGAAGATGAAGATTTGGAATTTTAGCAGCAGAATTTTAGTGGTGGCTGAAGCCCTGAGAGTGAATGAAATGGCTCAAAGAGAACTTAAGAGATTGAAAGGAGAAAAGGAGTAAGTACAGTTTTAGGAATAACTAACATTTACTGAAGGAGAAATAGACCCTGACAATGGAGAAGGAATTTTTAACGATTATTCTAGGAATAAAGAAAAACCTCATCATTAAGAAATCTATTACTATATTTCATCATATTCATATTTCTGGGAATAAAATCCTATGATCATCCACATAGATACTGAGTAGGCATCTATAAAAATATCCTCCCATTTGTAATAAAAAAACTCAAAAAAACAGGGATTCTTCCTTAATATGATAAAACGTTTATGTCTTAGCCATAAGTGAAAGCCAGCATCACACTTGTGGGCAAACACTGCAGGACAAGGATACTCCATCACTTCTGTTATTAACACTGTACTAGTAGTGTCAGTCAATGCAACTGAAAAGAGAAAAACGGAAGTGAAAATGATCATGATTTGCATATAATTCATACTTGGAAAACTGAAGAGAATCACATAAAAACTACTCCAAATAAGATTCAATAAACTAGCAGACTATAAAAATAATATGTAAAAGCCTTCATATATATGAGAACACTCCCACAATAACAGCAAAAAAAACCATCTAGGAATACATTTAACAAAATAATGTACAAAACTCTATCGGGGAAAAAAAGAATACAAAAAGAACTAAACAAATGAAAAGATACACCATGTTCATGGAGAGGAAGAGTCTACATCACAAAGATATCAATTCTCCCTAAATCAGTAAACTAACTTAATACTATTCTAATGAAAAGATATATTCTTAGATATAGGCAAAGTCATTTAAAAATTCATGTGGAAATTTAAACAAGCAAGAATAGACACAGTGTGGTAGGTTATATTTCTGTCCAGCCAAATTCAGTGTCCTTCCCTATATTAGCCAGCTCAGGCTGTCATAAAAAATACCATACATTGGGTGGCTTAAACAACAGAAAATTCTTTTCTTAAAATTTTAGAGGCTGGAAAGTCCAAGATGAAGATGCCAATCAATTCAGTTTCTGTTAAGCGCTCCATTCCTGCCTTCCAGATGACTGCATTCTTGCTGACTTGACATGGCAGAGAAGGAGGGAAACAACTCTCTCTTCCTCTTCTTATAAGGCCACCAATCCTATTGGATTAGGGGCCCCACCCTTATGATGTCATTTAAACCTGTTTATCTCCTAAAAGACCTATCTACATATACACTGGGGGTTAGGGCTAAAACATATATATTTTTGGTGAACACAATTTAGTTCATCGCACTCCCTGTGGTGCCCTTCTCCACAGAAAACTTATACACCCCCTTGCACTGGAACTCACATAAACAGATTTGTAATTCTCCATTTGCCTTGCTTTTTGACGAACGACATGTGAATGGAAGAGACAACCTGTAAGAGTGACACATTAATCACCATATTTTCCCTCTACCATGTTCTCCCTCAACAATATTACAGAAAGAAATACTCCTCTGTCCAAGATCCTAGGGCCTTGCTTGCTCAGTGGTAACCTATGTAACCATGTGTCCTTCTGGGCCTCATCTGGGCAAGGTGCCAGATGATCCAGGGCCTGGCCAACCCAGATCTTATCTCAAAGAATAGCATGTCCTGAAGGAACACAGAGTCCTTCCACATGAGCTACTGTTTCTGGGAATGCTAGCTGTACTAAGGACAGTACCTCTTGGCAAGCATGTAGTTTTTATACCCCTGCCTATATAAGCAACCCCCTCTCTTCCCGTGGTAGCAGGTGCACAACTCGGTCCAGCCAGCTGCCCCTGGACACTCCCTACACATAAGTCCCAATAAACCTTTATGTCTTGTATGCCATTTCTGGGTCTTTTCTTTGGTCTCTCCAAAAGAGACCCTATCCCGCACTGCTTGCTCCACTGGGTGTGTGGGCAGACAAGGATACTGCGTGAAGCTGAAAGGAACAAAACTAAAGTTGACCCAGGAAGTACAGGTAATATCAGTGAGAAAGAACCTTTCTTGTTGACCTAACTAGTAAATGAACTGGCACCACATAACCAAACAAAAACAACACGAACAACAGCAACAAGCAGTGCAAGGAAACTGGGAGGATGGTGATCTATGTTAGCCAGGGGCTAAACAATGGCTCACGGTGTTACTTATGATAACTGGGACTACTGTACTTACTGTTACTTAAGTAACATGAGTGATACTTATTAAGTCAAGTAATGTTTACCTCATGGGTGTATAGCTTTAGGAAAAGGGGCAGGAAAACAAAATAGTAAATCTCAGCAATTAGTCACTGCCTTTAGTAAAGTACTATAGGAAAGTGATGAGCTGAGGGGGAAAAAAAAGAGGCCAGATTGTAGGCAGAGATAAATGGGAATAAGGAGATACTAGAAATTGGGGTTCTTGTAGAACTTGGAAAATGCTCAAAGCATTTCTCCTTTTAGCTTTTATTGTTTAACTAGAAAAAGTTGCCTCTTCCAGTTCTTACAGAACAAAATACAATGAGAAATGCTTTGAGAGTCAAAAGTCAACTTTATGGCAAGTAACAAATGAAGGGTATGACCATGACAGCCACTGTCAAAGCCTATGAATGGCTTAAGTTGGCCCACAACAAATCCTTTCAGTTGCACAAGATGGGACAAAGAAAAGACTAAGGATGAAATACCTTTTAAAAAAATCAACCTATGTAAGTCTAAAAAAAAAAAATAGACACATGAATACAGAAAGAAAAAGAAAAGTGTATCTCAAAAAACTCAAACTAGCTAGAATCAGAAAGATAAACCCAACTACATTTTTTAGGGCTACACTGTCAAAATCCAAAAAAACTGACCTAAAACGTGCTGATAACTTAATATTTAAAGAGGTTATTTGAGGTCATGGACAAGAAGCATATCAAAAGAGCAACCCAGCCACTGAGAAGGACATATTTAATTTTGTTTTTATTTTATTAGTTTTTAATTTTATATTTTATCTTGTTTTCCATTTTTTTTGTTGAAATATCATTGACAAAATTATATATATTTAAGGTGTATAACCTGATGGTTTGATATACTACGCATTATGAAATGATTACAACCATCAAGTTACTTGGCACCTCCATCAACACAGTTACCTTTTTGTGTGTGTGAGAATAGTTAAGATCAACTCTCTTAGCAAACTGCAACTAAACAATAAAGTATTAACCATAGTTTTATAGTCACCATCCTGTACATTAGATCCTCAGAACTTATTCATCTTACAACTGAAAATTTGTACCCTTTCACGAACCTCTCCTATTTCCCCCCACCCAGGCCCTGGCAACCACCATTCTACTTTGTTTTTATGAGGTTAATTTTTTTTTTAATACTCCACAGATAAGTGATACCATAAGTATCTGTCTTTCTCTGTCTTGCTTATTTCACTTAGCATAATGCCCTCCAGGTTCATCTATGTTGTTGCAAATGGCAGGATATCCTTCTTTTTAATGGATGAATAACATTCCACTGGATATACACATATTTTCTTTATTCATTCATCTGATGACGGATCACTTTCCTACAGTACTTTACTAAAGGCAATGACTGGTAGCAGAGATTTACTACTATTTTGTTTTCCTGTCTCTTTTCCTAAAGCTTTAAGCCCATGACGTAAATATTATTTGACTTAATAAGTATCACTCATGTTACTTAAGTAACAGTAAGTACATCAGTTCCAGTTATCATTTAGGTT